AGAAACTCACCACACAGGTCACCCATCTCAGAAAACTCACCACACAGGCCATCCATCTCAGAACTCACACCACACAGGTCATCCATCTCAGAAACTCATCACACAGGTCATCCATCCTCTCAGAAACTCACCACACAGGTCATCCATCTCAGAAACACACCACACAGGTCACCCATCCTCAGAAACTCACCACACAGGCCATCCATCTCAGAAACTCATCACCACACAGGTCACCCATCTCAGAAACACACCACACAGGCCATCCATCTCAGAAACTCACCACACAGGTCATCCATCTCAGAAACTCATCACACAGGTCACCCATCTCAGAAACTCACCACACAGGCCATCCATCTCAGAAACACACCACACAGGTCATCCATCTCAGAAACTCATCACACAGGTCACCCATCTCAGAAACTCACCACACAGGTCATCCATCTCAGAAACTCACCACACAGGCCATCCATCTCAGAAACTCATCACACAGGTCATCCATCTCAGAAACACACCACACAGGCCATCCATCTCAGAAACACACCACACAGGTCATCCATCTCAGAAACACACCACACAGGTCATCCATCTCAGAAACACACCACACAGGTCATCCATCTCAGAAACTCATCACACAGGTCATCCATCTCAGAAACTCATCACACAGGTCATCCATCTCAGAAACTCATCACACAGGTCATCCATCTCAGAAACTCATCACACAGGTCACCCATCTCAGAAACTCATCACACAGGTCACCCATCTCAGAAACACACCACACAGGTCATCCATCTCAGAAACTCATCACACAGGTCATCCATCTCAGAAACTCATCACACAGGTCATCCATCTCAGAAACTCATCACACAGGTCATCCATCTCAGAAACTCATCACACAGGTCATCCATCTCAGAAACTCATCACACAGGTCATCCATCTCAGAAACACACCACACAGGTCATCCATCTCAGAAACTCATCACACAGGTCATCCATCTCAGAAACTCATCACACAGGTCATCCATCTCAGAAACTCATCACACAGGTCATCCATCTCAGAAACACACCACACAGGTCACCCATCTCAGAAACTCACCACACAGGCCATCCATCTCAGAAACACACCACACAGGCCATCCATCTCAGAAACTCATCACACAGGTCACCCATCTCAGAAACTCACCACACAGGCCATCCATCTCAGAAACTCATCCACACAGGTCACCCATCTCAGAAACTCATCACACAGGTCATCCATCTCAGAAACTCATCACACAGGTCATCCATCTCAGAAACACACCACACAGGTCACCCACCTCAGAAACTCACCACACAGGCCATCCATCTCAGAAACTCATCACACAGGTCACCCATCTCAGAAACACACCACACAGGCCATCCATCTCAGAAACTCACCACACAGGCCATCCATCTCAGAAACTCATCACACAGGTCACCCATCTCAGAAACTCACCACACAGGCCATCCATCTCAGTAAACACACCACACAGGTCATCCATCTCAGAAACTCATCCACACAGGTCACCCATCTCAGAAACTCATCACACAGGTCATCCATCTCAGAAACTCACCACACAGGCCATCCATCTCAGAAACTCATCACACAGGTCATCCATCTCAGAAACACACCACACAGGCCATCCATCTCAGAAACACACCACACAGGTCATCCATCTCAGAAACTCATCACACAGGTCATCCATCTCAGAAACACACCACACAGGTCATCCATCTCAGAAACACACCACACAGGTCATCCATCTCAGAAACTCATCACACAGGTCATCCATCTCAGAAACTCATCACACAGGCCATCCATCTCAGAAACTCATCACACAGGCCATCCATCTCAGAAACTCATCACACAGGCCATCCATCTCAGAAACACATCACACAGGTCATCCATCTCAGAAACACACCACACAGGTCATCCATCTCAGAAACTCATCACACAGGTCATCCATCTCAGAAACACACCACACAGGTCACCCATCTCAGAAACTCATCACACAGGTCATCCATCTCAGAAACTCACCACACAGGCCATCCATCTCAGAAACTCACCACACAGGTCATCCATCTCAGAAACACACCACACAGGCCATCCATCTCAGAAACACACCACACAGGTCATCCATCTCAGAAACTCATCACACAGGTCATCCATCTCAGAAACACACCACACAGGTCATCCATCTCAGAAACACACCACACAGGTCATCCATCTCAGAAACTCATCACACAGGTCATCCATCTCAGAAACTCATCACACAGGCCATCCATCTCAGAAACTCATCACACAGGCCATCCATCTCAGAAACTCATCACACAGGTCATCCATCTCAGAAACACACCACACAGGTCATCCATCTCAGAAACTCACCACACAGGTCATCCATCTCAGAAACACACCACACAGGCCATCCATCTCAGAAACTCATCACACAGGTCACCCATCTCAGAAACTCATCACACAGGTCACCCATCTCAGAAACTCATCACACAGGTCACCCATCTCAGAAACTCATCACACAGGTCACCCACCTCAGAAACACACCACACAGGCCACCCATCTCAGAAACACACCACACAGGTCACCCATCTCAGAAACACACCACACAGGTCACCCATCTCAGAAACTCATCACACAGGTAATGTCACACCTCATCCATCATGAAATACAGATCAAAGGACACCTATCATAGAAATATGGTTACCTGTCATGAAAACCAAAGCTCACCGGTCACCTGTCTATGAAACAGGTCACATTTCACCAGTCACGGATACACAGGTCTCCTGACACAATAACCAGATCACCAAACTGGACCTGGACAACCGGTCAGGAAGAGCTATTTCATTAGCCCAGAATTCTGGTACCAACAAAATTTCCATACTATTCCTTATTACCAATTGGGTTAATATAAAACACGGGTTATAATTACCATACTTGCACTGCTACAATATATGCTAACATGTACTGTTGTCTGTTGTGTGCATCATCTGGATGCCATTGTTTATGTCATCATTTGAATGTTATTGTTACATATGGTCAGAATGATCACAAACGTCAAAGCGGAAGTTATATCATTTGATAATAGCAATTTTCTAAGATGACAGTTGTGATCGGCACTTTTTCTAAAGAAGAATTGAAAAGAATTAAGTAATAATAAGAAGTAAATATATGATTGCTCATATTAGTTTATTCTCACTTCAGGAAATTTTGTTAGAATTCAGGCATAGGGATTGGGATTCTGACAATTGTTTCATAAAATCAGTATGACACACATGCTTGTATAATAATCTCTATTTCTGACATAAGATGGCAGGCAAGATCATCTTTGTGACTGTTTTGGTTACAAATAACATCAACTCGTTTGCACTTGAGAAAACTTAATGCAATTAAAGGACAAATTGACTGTTAAGCGTTTTCTGCAATAATGCAACAGTGCTTGTTTCTTGAAGTGCCTAAATATCACAGTACTTATCATCATCCACCATTTATATTTCAGCCAGTTCATGTACATTATATTGTGAAGCCCATTTCTGGTGTCCCCCGCCGTGATGTTGCTGGAATATTGCTAAAAGAGGCGTAAAACCAGCCTCAGTCAGTCAGTCATGAACATTATAAAGCATATCCTACTCAGACCAAAAAAATATTTCAGGTAGGGTTTGCCTATTTTGTATCAGACGTAAAGACATCTGCTGGTGACAGATCTAAAAAATAACAGCATTTATGATCAAACCAAAAGTAGAAATTGTCACATGTCACTTCATGAGAATATTTGAATCTGTGGAGTTCAAAGCCTTCCTTAACTACAACCCTTCTGTGTGACTTCATGGCACTATAGTGATGTATGAACTGAATACCTAAATGTCTACAGCCATTTGTTCAACTAGGACCACAAGGACCTAAATGGTCCTTCAAGATAAATGTCACATCCACTGTAAACATTTACACAGAAAAATATTGAAACAGATACCTTTATACAGAAAATTGATGCTCAGAGACATTCCTAACTGACATTTGAAGGAAGTAGAGAGTAGACATTGCGGGTTGCTAAGAATGACAAGCACAAAACAGTGCATCGCAATTGAAACAGCTGAAATAATGACAAATTTTGAAATACCTACCTCAGATGAAATTTGGTTAAAAAACAGAACAGTACAAATCATTACGATTCCTGGGATAGATAGTGCCAGGAGTAGCATAAAACAACTGTAAAACATTAGCTCTCTCTCTCTCTCTCACATTCTTACCTTCTCACTCACTCTCTCCACACATTACATTTTAGATGACTGAAATATCTGAATATAGGACTTCTCTTCTGCTTAGTTGGGATTTAGCTCTACAGCTGTTGGAACCTACATTTGTGTCAAGCCATAAGCAACACTTTGGGGAAGTAAAGGACACATAGGGAAGACATGAGCCATGACAACTCCATAAGAATAGTCAGCAAAGGGAGGTAACCCTTGGAGCTGATGATAGACGCAGGTTATTTGGATCACTTCAAATCACACAGTACATGTTTCAACTATTCCTCATCACTTCAAACTAATTAAACTGGCAATTTATCAATACTTATAAAAATGTCCAACCATGGTGTGTCATTATACTTTGTATCCTCGGTTTTACCCAAATGTGGCCTTTCCTATTGTATTTAACAGTTTCAGGTTTACAAATGAACCATTTTCTGTCTAAAGAGGATTCCATTTATCAACATACAAACATTTAAACCAAACTCATATTGAAGATGGAGAATGTACCTATGAGAACTGAAATGTGTTTTCCATGATATAATTGTACCTTAAGATTTCAATAGTACATAAACTTTTTCTGTTTAATAACAAGCTGACGAGGTTATGTGCTGATTGTTAGAATGCTTAACATGTGCAAAGGAGGTTAGAAAGCATGGCTTGACTTAACTCTGAAGAAGGGGGGTTAGTAGAGTTGTATGCCCTTCACCAAGTCATGTGACCACCTACCTCCTGCATGACTGAATGTCAAGAAAATCTGAGTAACTGGCAGAACTGTGAAGCCTGAAATAAACACTACCTTAATGACAAAATCTCTGCTGTTATCCAACCATGTGTCACAGAGTCATTCTAAGATACAAGCACTGATGCCTCTGTTCAAGGGGTGTCATTTGAAAGTAAAGCAAACTAGAACAGGGTCCAGATACATGAAGTGACCTTAGTGCTAAGATGATTTTACAGTCACACTAAAGAATGGGAGTTGGGACAGTTGTAGTCTTGTGAGCACTGGAATGGTGACCAGAATTTTTCAGATCGTCCATGACACTGATAGGATCACCTGATGGTTAAGGCTTCTTTAGAATGCTCACAACAGTTTCACAAAAGAAATATGCTTGCAAAGTTCTACTGCCAGCCAAACCTGGGTGAGTACCACCCAGCTGACTGGTGAGTTATACAGTTATGTGAGACTGCGAGCATTACTGACTTCATTACACAGATCACACACAGGTCAGTAGGCATAGCAAGCAGATATATTTCAGAAGCACTAAATTCATGCAAAGAAAACACACATGATGTGGTAACTGAATATCATATGGATTTCATTTTCATACTGATGCATTATGGCTTGAAACTGATACTTCCATATATTCAGCATCTCATTGCTAAATGTTACCAAGAGGCATGAATCCAGTATTATTGTAGGATCTAGCTACAATAAATTAGAAGATGCTAAGCCTTTGAAAGTTGAGAACAATAAAGACGTCAACAGGAAAACAAACTACCAAACATTTAAACCTATGAGAGATATGCCCCCATCCCTCATGACTCAATGGCCACATGCTCTTACCCTTCTTCCTCCACTGTTTCCAGGTCAGTCAGGTTCTCCATACTGCTGCAGCCCTCTCGCCGTAATCTGGAATTACAGTAACAGTATATGCGTCCAGCCTGACCTGACCTGTTTTACACAATACCCAATGTTGTAAAGAAACAGACAATGTCTGCATCCGTGCCATATGCAAGTCAAGACCTACTGACACGTAAAGCAATACTCCAGTAACAGTGGGCCTGTGACAGAGGGCTTTATACAATTTATGTAAGTGCAGCATTAAACCAGTGTTTCCAGCATGGAGTCATACTCACAGCACTAGGCTACTACTTTACCTCTGCAAATGGCTAGAATGGTAGTGTTTAGTGTACGACTGAAAACAAAAAACTGAAGAGTGTTTGTGAAATCCATATATCACATTTGACATTCAAACTTAACTTCTTTGAGACACATTTAGAAGTTGGATCAATAAGGAAGGATGACAATATATGGTAAAACAACTTCTTTATTACAGTGAGAGCATCATTTCGGTGTAAGTTCTAACATCGTTATCAAGTGAATGATAACGTTGATAGAACCTACACCGAAACGTACATGCTAGCCACATGTTCTACATACATACTTGGACACCCTAGGGATCCGCAGCTTGAGTTCCTTCATTTCTTCAACCTGCTTGTCACACGGCTCTGTAAACACAAGGACAGGAGAGATAGATCGAGAGTTACTTGCAATTTGTTCATATTGTATTTGTATCAATTATGGAAGTATACTAGCAACAAAGGCATATCAGGGACCTAATGACATGACAGTGCAGCCACAATGTAACATGTATTCAGGTGTGTCCACCATGTTGGGTGGTACATGCCTAGCACCGTGATGGCATAGACTGTTGGTAAACCTGAGTATGGTTAGGACTACACTACACTGGCAGGTCCTGAGTTGTACACTCTCTGCTTGAAAACATCCCACAGATGCACCAGGGGGTTTTCACAGGCCAGCCAATGTCTGTATGCCTTCTTGACAGAGATTAGCAGTTAGAACTGATATGGCATTAACGTCCTGCATATCAAAGGTCCTGTTTAGTAAATGGAAGGACAGCATGCAACATTTCATTATCATAAAACCTGAGGAGATACAAGTACGCTGTACCAGGAACCTACTCTTCCCCCATGAAAACCCTGGGAGATACAAGTACGCTGTACCAGGAACCTACTCTTCCCCCATGAAAACCCTGGGAGATACAAGTGCAGCTGTACCAGGAACCTACTCTTCCCCATGAAAACCCTGGGAGATACAAGTACAAATGCAGCTGTACCAGGAACCTACTCTTCCCCATGAAAACCCTGGGAGATACAAGTGCGGCTGTACCAGGAACCTACTCTTCCCCATGAAAACCCTGGGAGATACAAGTCCCCATGAAAACGGCTGTACCAGGAACCTACTCTTCCCCATGAAAACCCTGGGAGATACAAGTGCAGCTGTACCAGGAACCTACTCTTCCCCATGAAAACCCTGGGAGATACTCTGTACCAGGAACCTACTCTTCCCCCATGAAAACCCTGGGAGATACAAGTACGCTGTACCAGGAACCTACTCTTCCCCCATGAAAACCCTGGGAGATACAAGTAGGGTACCAGGAACCTACTCTTCCCCCATGAAAACCCTGGGAGATACAAGTACGCTGTACCAGGAACCTACTCTTCCCCCATGAAAACCCTGGGAGATACAAGTACGGTACCAGGAACCTACTCTTCCCCATGAAAACCCTGGGAGATACAAGTACGCTGTACCAGGAACCTACTCTTCCCCTGAAAACCCCACATACCAGATGTGCTGCGGACAACATTGTGCTCAGGAGATAATGGTTGTTTCTTCCTTTTCTTTCTCTTCGAGCCCAGATTGCTGAAATTAAACATAAACATAAAAAATAACAGCTCTGTTGCTCACAAGGTACATTACAGGTCAGCTGAAAGTTGTTGATACAGGAGACTTCAGTGTCTATAAACTTGTGGGACAGGGTGTTGTAAGTGTGAGATATTTACACGTTTGAAATAGTGAGGCTTGGACATCCAGACACATCATGTAACAGTACTATAGATTCACAGCAATATGAGGCCATACACAAAAACTGCAGCGTGTTCAGCGTGACGACATTTTAATGTAGTCTGTCTGCTTGACAGAAACTGCCAAGTTTCATCTCAGTTTACATGGCACATTGTTACTAGGTCATGTGGCTCGGACTCCTTTAATCAGGTTTTGAAAAGTACCTACTGATATAACCAGGATGTACTGCCATGTTTCTACTAATTTGTCAGTCATAATTACCATATACATTTTGATCATAGGGTACGTACAGAATTGGTTCAACAATTGGTCCAACATGCTCTGTACTTTTAGAGCTATGTTAGATTTTCTTGTGATGAAAAGTATAGCTATGTCTGAGAAAACTGCACACTGCTATGTGACATGCTTATTTGATCTTCTAAAAGATATTAATGTGGCAAGTGAAGAAAGTTACAAAATTTTAGTTAGACCTTAACTTCAGACATGAACATAAAGTTATTTACTTTGGGCTTTAAAGTAAAAATCTGTTGACCATTGCTCGAGGATATCCCAAGCATGTGTTGTACTGAACATGAGGGACATGTTACAGCACTGTCAACAATCCTTGATGTGGTGGAAATCAGTGACAACTGTGTTGTTGCCCTAAACACCTCATGAGGACAACTGATTGACGTGAACTCACATATTGTTGTAACAAATTAGTAATATTAATATTACCCCTCTGAATCTGAAACAGGAGACTGTCAACAGACTTGTGAACATTGTGCCACTTACTCCAGGATAAAGGGGTGCTCCAGCAGGGTCAGTGCAGTAGCTCGGTCATCTGACATTGGCTCAAAACACCTGGCAAGGACAAAAATGATGGTGTACAGCTTCTCCACTGATAATCATATGTACGGGATAATTGTCTTTTGTTGTTAAATAATGTTTACTACATTACTATTGGTTATGTCACAAGATGAGAAAATTTGACAGGAGAAAACACAGTTCATTTTGATATGTATGTTCAAGTGTGATTTTCATGACCTTATTCTGAAAACAATAGTGTCATTGAGGCAGGCTGAAAAATGTGTTATTTTATACCTGGAAATTACAATATTCAAGTGAAATGGATTTTAATGGCACATTCAAGATTATTGCACTTATCCTTGCGATGTCCATGCACCAATGTTGGTGTGTGGCCACTTGAACAGGTCCAGGCTTATGCTACCTCCATAGAGCTAGCAAGCTGAGGTACCATGTCATATTTTAACATGGAGTCATTAGTACTGACTTTAAGCCAACCAGTCCTTGTTTGATTAGGTCAATGCTGAGCACCAGACAGGCTAACAACAAGTACAACCTATTAACATCTTTGGTGTGATGTTGCCAGGAGACTGAACCACCAATTTCCCACTCTCTGGGTGGACAGTATCCTCCAGACCATAGATTTAGTATTATTCCATCACTAACTAAACAATAATGTCAATAAGTTAGTCTGATTTGATCTGAGGTAATAGACCTGTATTTCAGCAGTCAGAAATGACAGTACTGTAAATGCATTACAGCATCAAAATCTCAAGTGAAGCGATATATCACCTGAGAAGAAAGTCTTTTGCCTTGTTGGACATCAACTCTGGGATGTCAGGATGCATCTTATAGAAGCCCACTTTAAACATAGCAGCCTCAGGGGAGCCCAGCTGAAACATAACATCTCACACATGGAACACGGGTCACAGACACCGGCCTCTGACACATTGAGTGTAAACGCATTATTGGGCTCATACCTATGGAACATAGGGACATGGAGCTCAAAGATACATAACACAGGGACGGATATGGAGCTCAAATATATGGCACACAGGGTCATGGAGCTCAAATATATGGGACACAGGGACATGGAGCTCGAACATGTGGGACACAGGAACATGGAGCTCGAACATGTGGGACACAGGGACATGGAGCTCGAACATGTGGGACACAGGGACATGGAGCTCAAACATGGGACACAGGGACATGGAGCTCAAACATATGGCACACAGGGACATGGAGCTCAAACATGTAGCACACAGGGACATGGAGCTCAAACATATGGGACACAGGGACATGGAGCTCGAACATGTGGGACACAGGAACATGGAGCTTGAACATGTGGGACACAGGAACATGGAGCTCAAACATGGGACACAGGGACATGGAGCTCGAACATGTGGGACACAGGGACATGGAGCTCAAACATATGGGACACAGGAACATGGAGCTCAAACATGTGGGACACAGGGACATGGAGCTCAAACATATGGGACACAGGGACATGCAGCTGAACATGTGGGACACAGGGTCATGGAGCTCAAACATGTGGGACACAGGGACATGGAGCTCAAACATGTGGGACACAGGAACATGGAGCTCAAACATGTGGGACACAGGGACATGGAGCTTGAACATGTGGGACACAGGAACATGGAGCTCAAACATATGGGACACAGGGACATGGAGCTCAAACATGTGGGACACAGGAACATGGAGCTTGAACATGTGGGACACAGGAACATGGAGCTCAAACATGTGGGACACAGGAACATGGAGCTTGAACATGTGGGACACAGGGACATGGAGCTCAAACACACTGAAGACAGACACTGAAGACACATGGGGCAAAGAACACAACACAGACACAAGAAACACTGACAAATGGAACATAGACATCGACCTGAATTGTATTACACCAAAATGCCCTTGAAAAGCTCTCACCTCAACAAATGGAGGTTTCCCTGTGGCCATCTCTATGACTGTGCATCCCAGTGACCAGATATCAGCCTGCAAGTAGATCCATATTAAGAACTATACAGAAAACTAGATCACATAGCCTGTCATGTGAATCTTGGTAACATCCACATATACTCTCCCCACAAAGACAGTGATGTTTCAAAACAACAGATGATTACACAAAACAAAGAGGTACTGAGTCATGGCTGGATAACACAAGGGAAATATGTACTTAACTTCTCAATTAACTAGCAATTAGCAGTGTATTTTAAAGGTGCAAAGAACCATGAAAGATGTCAGGAGTGAGGTGTGATAAAATTAGAATCCCTGAGGGGCTATCTGGAACCAAGACGACCCAACCTTGGAAGAACTCCAGTGTTGGGGTGTGTGGGGTGTGGGGTGTGTGTGTGTGCATGCGTGTGTGTGCATGCGTGTGCGTGTGTGTGTGTGTATGCATATGTGTGTGTGTGTGTGTGTGTGTGTGTGTTTCATGATCAAATGCTCTTTTATGAGTATATATGAATGATAGAGTAACCCTGCATCATACATGTTAGATCCAAATTTTATCCAAAATGTCCAAAGACTACACTATCCTATCAGCATGTGGAGTTGAACATAGCATATCAACCTAGAGAGTCTGTAAAGGGAGCATACTCACAGGAGGACCGTAACCACGGGAACCCTTGTCTATCACTTCAGGAGCCATGTACTGGATAGTTCCTAGCAACATAAACATCTACATCAACACACCATCAAATATCAGGAAATAGTAACTGTCAATCTTATATGACATACAACAAAGCTGGAATGGGCTGAAAGGTGAAACTTAATGTTAGCTAACTAACCTGCAAAAGTGTCAGCACATGGGTTAATTCCAGACAGACGCTTAGATGTGCCAAAATCTGAGATCTTGAGCACACCACTGTAGGTGTTGACCAGCACGTTGTCGCCCTTGATATCTCGGTGTACAATCTTGTTGTCATGCTGACAAGAGAACACAGATGTTGGACACATGACTAAAAACATCAGCAACAAGCCAAAAATATGAACAAAGTTCAAGAATACCTGTGACCTCCCAACTTCAGCTGAACAACAATTAATACATTTGAATGGATGTTTTCAAATTTGGGGATCATCCTCCATATCTATTGGAGATGTACTGTGCAAAGTTTTGTTCTAAAAATTTTCATTTATCAAGAAGTAACATAAAATACATCTCTTGAACTCAGGGGAAAAGCCCACCGTCAAATTTGTTCAACCAATGAATTGACAATTATTAAACAGATTGTTTTCAGATTAAGGTATAGGCTTCTTTGATTACAGTCCGTTTGAGACAAAATGATACCAATGAATTGCAATCTAGCACAAAAAACAAATAGACATAAAAGAATCAAACCAACATGGACTGCAATAAAAACAACAGACCAACTCCAGAAAAAAATAGCATAAGTTGTGTCACAAAAATGAAAAAGTTGTTTAAGAAATTGTCATCATTTATTTGTGCGTTTTCCCAGTTTGTTACATGGGCGCATTGGCACGTAAAGGAACAGCGCAAAAAGCGAGATGCCCATGTGTTAACGGGTTCTCAACAAATTTTTGAGCTGGCGAGATGACATGTACCCCAGCTGCACAGGCAGTGCGCTGTATGTACTTAGTAATTGCATACCTGGGTCACCCCCCTGTCATTTTCATCCTTGAAGAAATCATAGACATTGTAAATTATAGACTTTCATTTTCTCTCACTTTGTCAATCAGCAGTAATCACATGTCTCTGACGTCACTAATGCACGTGCATCTCGCTTTTCATTTTGTCTCAAGTGGACTGTAGCAAAGATGCAGTGCAAAGTTTTATATAGATACTGTATTTTTCTCAATAATAATTAGTGTTCATGCTATTGGTCTTCCAGCAGATGGACGAATGGAATTCCATGGTATAACTACATACCTCTGACCTTTTTCTGTTTGGGGTGTAACAAATCAATGTAATCTTAATTAAATTCCAAATGTAACATAAATAATGATCTTATTTGATCCTAATATTAAAATTGAAAATGTTAACCATAAATTGTATATTTATGATACTCTCACATTCTGCACTTTCTCTTCTACTTTTGACAGTGGAGTGGAAATGACTGAAGATGCTGATATAGGTCATCATTAGAAGCTTCTGGGCAGCATGGAAGCTGTGAATATAAGCCAGTGAATATAAACCAGTGAATATAAGCCAGTGAATATAACCTAGCGGCTCTATTGTTAATTTGTCCCATTACGTATCTAAGTTCGAAGAGCCGACACATGAGCCTGGGGTACACTTGTTGTGGAGCATCGACCATCAGGGGCGGCGATCCAACCAGTGACAGTCGATAACCTTGCAGGACTGTGTTGGTGACAAATGGGTTGTCCAAACGTATTCGAGTCTTCTACATACAGGAGAGTGAGCTTCACCACGACTGTGGGCAGAAGGTCACAGTTGTGCGATTGTATCAAGCAGTCATTGCTTAGAATGATCAGTTGGTCTGGCTGAATCCCATACGTATTTTTACTGAGATGTAAATGGATATAGAAATATTGCTCTATCAAAACACAATTGTATTTTAGGCTTTGAGGCCAAACTACAGAATAAATTTATCTCTCAAATATTTCTATCTTTGAAAGAGATATGGCAACTGAAGAGTTCCATCTTGTAGTGTTCATCCTAAATAGAATAATTCAAAGAACCTCTTCGTCAAATGGCTGTCATCAAACCCAGCTTGCAGACACATGATCAGCTTGGGCAGGTTCCATGTCTTATGGGAGCTTCTAATGATGACCTACATCAGCAACTGGAGCAGACGTGCTTTTGGGTGTGCTAGTGTTTCCCCCAAGGATCCAAAAAGGGCAGGGCACCCTATTCCAAAAAGGTCATGCAATGACAGATTTCCAAGTATTATGCTAAGTTATTCATGGATATGATTCTTAAAGGCTCAAAGAGCACAGTTAGTTCACTGAACTTCAATATGAAATAGAAACTAATAATAACCAAGTGTTAACATCAATTATTATATTAAAACGAAGGGCAGGACACCCGAAATAAAAATTACAAGGCACCAAATAAAATGCCCAGGGGAAACACTATGTGCAGTTCAGAGTGACTGAAAACTTTTGTTCCAGTTCATTTCCACTCCACTCTCGAAAGTAGAAGAGAAAGTGCACTATGTGAGATATGATCAGTTTTAAAAGTATGAGGGTAATAGTATGCCATTTAAAATCTGTACTTTTCATATGACACCAGAAATGCTGACAGTGAACAGACCAGGTAGCGTAGTCCCTCCAGAATCTGCTTGGTGTAGAAGGCAATGGTTGTCTCATTTTCCTTCAAGGGCCCCCACTTTGAACGCAGCAACTGTGACAGGCTCCCTGTAATATTCCAAATCATAGAGAATAAAATGCACTTTGCACTTGATGGGTCTCAAACTAAGATTTCAATAGACATCGAACAGATTTACCTTCTTATGAAGCCACAGAAGTCATTAACTGGAGAGCAGAGAGGCGGGAGGACTGCCAATATCCAGGTAATAACAGTGTGTAGGGAGGAGGAAGTAACACCGACTTCCTGGATATGACAGTAATGTTGTGTAGGGAGGAGGAAGTAACACCGACTTCCTGGATATGACAGTAATGTTGTGTAGGGAGGAGGAAGTAACACCGACTTCCTGGATATGACAGTAATGTTGTGTAGGGAGGAGGAAGTAACACCGACTTCCTGGATATGACAGTAATGTTGTGTATGGAGGAAGAAGTAACACCGACTTCCTGGATATGACAGTAATGTTGTGTATGGAGGAAGAAGTAACACCTACTTCCTTGATGTGACAGTAATGTTGTGTACGGAGGAAGAAGTAACACCGACTTCCTTGATGTGACAGTAATGTTGTGTATGGAGGAAGAAGTAACACCGACTTCCTGGATGTGACAGTAATGTTGTGTATGGAGGAAGAAGTAATACCTACTTCCTGGATATGACAGTAATGTTGTGTATGGAGGAAGAAGTAATACCTACTTCCTTGATGTGACAGTAATGTTGTGTACGGAGGAAGAAGTAACACCGACTTCCTGGATATGACAGTAATGTTGTGTACGGAGGAAGAAGTAACACCGACTTCATGACTATGACAGTAATGTTGTGTACGGAGGAAGAAGTAACACCTACTTCCTGGATATGACAGTAATGTTGTGTACGGAGGAAGAAGTAACACCTACTTCCTTGATGTGACAGTAATGTTGTATACGGAGGAAGAAGTAACACCGACTTCCTGGATATGACAGTAATGTTGTGTACAGAGGAGGAAGTAACACCGACTTCCTGGATATGACAGTAATGTTGTGCACGGAGGAAGAAGTAACACCTACTTCCTAGATGTGACAGTAATGTTGTGTATGGAGGAAGAAGTAACACCGACTTCCTGGATATGACAGTAATGTTGTGTATGGAGGAAGAAGTAACACCGACTTCCTGACTATGACAGTATTGTTGTGTACGGAGGAAGAAGTAACACCGACTTCCTGGATATGACAGTAATGTTGTGTATGGAGGAAGAAGTAACACCGACTTCCTGACTATGACAGTAATGTTGTGTACGGAGGAAGAAGTAACACCGACTTCCTGGATGTGACAGTAATGTTGTGTATGGAGGAAGAAGTAACACCTACTTCCTGGATATGACAGTAATGTTGTGTACGGAGGAAGAAGTAACACCTACTTCCTGGATATGACAGTAATGTTGTGTACGGAGGAAGAAGTAATACCTACTTCCTGGATATGACAGTAATGTTGTGTATGGAGGAAGAAGTAATACCTACTTCCTGGATATGACAGTAATGTTGTGTACGGAGGAAGAAGTAACACCTATTTCATGACTATGACAGTAATGTTGCGTATGGAGGAAGAAGTAACACCTACTTCCTGGATGTGACAGTAATGTTGTGCAATATAGAACAAGTTTTATGGATAACAACTCCTTATTTCGTGAGTGCGACGTTTCGATACAGATTCTTGTACCGTTGTCAAGCAAGAGTGATACATGAAGTGTAGGAGCTGCATATATATACTGTATATAACAATGAAACAACATAATAGACAAAGGAAACAACATAATTGCCATGATTGGCTAAGCAGTAAGCTGAAGAAGCCAGTGAGTACACAAAGGATAGTGAATGGAAGCCAGAGATGTAGTTACAATGAGATGTTTAAACAATAGATGCGATGTTTATACAATAGATTGGGCTTGGTGGAGGAGTGGATCATAAGCTGATGGAATGAAGTATCCTTGGTCACGGTTGATGGTGGGCTTGTGGCGTTTGATGTGAATGGCTTCTGTGAGCTTGCGTTTAGTGAAGTCCGTTTGGTTGTTGGCGAGAATGGTGATGTCGGACCACTCTATTTGATGATTGGGGTTAGCTTTGATGTGGTCAGAGATAGCTGACTTGGTGTCGGAATTAGCAACAGAGGTGCGATGTTCTTTGACTCGGGTGTTGATGGGTCGGGATGTTTCACCTATGTAGCATTGTCCACAATCACAGTTTATTTTGAAAATAACACATTTCGGGTTGTTGTTGTTGACGGTGGGTTGTTTTCTTCCATCTATATTGTACGTCTCAACTTCTAAAATGCCACTCAAACAAGTAATGTTGTGTACGGAGGAAGAAGTAACACCGACTTCCTGGATATGACAGTAATGTTGTGTACGTAGGAAGAAGTAATACCTACTTCCTGGATATGACAGTAATGTTGTGTACGGAGGAAGAAGTAATACCTACTTCCTGGATATGACAGTAATGTTGTGTACGGAGGAAGAAGTAATACCTACTTCCTGGATATGACAGTAATGTTGTGTATGGAGGAAGAAGTAACACCGACTTCATGACTATGACAGTAATGTTGTGTATGGAGGAAGAAGTAACACCGACTTCCTGGATGTGACAGTAATGTTGTGTATGGAGGAAGAAGTAACACTGACTTCCTGGATATGACAGTAATGTTGTGTACGGAGGAAGAAGTAACACCGACTTCCTGGATGTGACAGTAATGTTGTGTATGGAGGAAGAAGTAACACTGACTTCCTGGATATGACAGTAATGTTGTGTAGGGAGGAAGAAGTAACACTAACTTCCAGGATGTGACAGTAATGTTGTGTAAGGAGGAAGAAGTAACACCGACTTCCAGGATGTGACAGTAATGTTGTGTATGGAGGAAGAAGTAATACCTACTTCCTTGATGTGACAGTAATGTTGTGTATGGAGGAAGAAGTAACACCTACTTCATGACTATGACAGTAATGTTGTGTACGGAGGAAGAAGTAATACCTACTTCCTTGATGTGACAGTAATGTTGTGTATGGAGGAAGAAGTAACACCTACTTCATGACTATGACAGTAATGTTGTGTACGGAGGAAGAAGTAACACCTACTTCCTGGATGTGACAGTAATGTTGTGTATGGAGGAAGAAGTAATACCTACTTCCTGGATGTGACAGTAATGTTGTGTATGGAGGAAGAAGTAACACCGACTTCCAGGATGTGACAGTAATGTTGTGTATGGAGGAGGAAGAAGTAACACCTACTTCCTAGATGTGACAGTAATGTTGTGTATGGAGGAAGAAGTAATACCTACTTCCTTGATGTGACAGTAATGTTGTGTATGGAGGAAGAAGTAACACCTACTTCCTGGATATGACAGTAATGTTGTGTACGGAGGAAGAAGTAACACCTACTTCATGACTATGACAGTAATGTTGTGTATGGAGGAAGAAGTAACACCGACTTCCTGGATATGACAGTAATGTTGTGTATGGAGGAAGAAGTAACACCTACTTCCTGGATGTGACAGTAATGTTGTGTATGGAGGAAGAAAGTAACACCAACTTCCTGGATATGACAGTAATGTTGTTGTGTACAGAGGAAGAAAATAACACCAACTTCCAGGATGTGACAGTAATGTTGTGTATGGAGGAAGAAGTAACAATGACTTCCTGGACTATGACAGTAATGTTGTGTATGGAGGAAGAAGTAACACCTACTTCCTGGATATGACAGTAATGTTGTGTATGGAGGAAGAAGTAACACCTACTTCCTGGATATGACAGTAATGTTGTGTATGGAGGAAGAAGTAATACCTACTTCATGACTATGACAGTAATGTTGTGTATGGAGGAAGAAGTAACACCTACTTCATGACTATGACAGTAATGTTGTGTATGGAGGAAGAAGTAACACCTACTTCCTGGATATGACAGTAATGTTGTGTATGGAGGAAGAAGTAACACCGACTTCCTGACTATGACAGTAATGTTGTGTACGGAGGAAGAAGTAACACCTACTTCCTGGATGTGACAGTAATGTTGTGTATGGAGGAAGAAGTAACACCTACTTCCTGGATGTGACAGTAATGTTGTGTATGGAGGAAGAAGTAACACCGACTTCCTGGATGTGACAGTAATAATGTATGGAGGAAGAAGTAACACCTACTTCCTGGATATGACAGTAATGTTGTGTACAGAGGAAGAAGTAACACGACTTTCTTGACTATGACAGTAATGTTGTGTATGGAGGAAGAAGTAACACCGACTTCCTGGATGTGACAGTAATGTTGTGTATGGAGGAAGAAGTAACACCGACTTCCTGGATGTGACAGTAATGTTGTGTATGGAGGAAGAAGTAATACCGACTTCCTGACTATGACAGTAATGTTGTGTATGGAGGAAGAAGTAACACCGACTTCCTGGATATGACAGTAATGTTGTGTATGGAGGAAGAAGTAACACCTACTTCCTGGATGTGACAGTAATGTTGTGTACGGAGGAAGAAGTAACACCGACTTCCTGGATATGACAGTAATGTTGTGTACGGAGGAAGAAGTAACACCTACTTCCTGGATATGACAGTAATGTTGTGTACGGAGGAAGAAGTAACACCGACTTCCTGGATATGACAGTAATGTTGTGTACGGAGGAAGAAGTAACACCTACTTCCTGGATATGACAGTAATGTTGTGTACAGAGGAAGAAGTAATACCGACTTCCTGACTATGACAGTAATGTTGTGTATGGAGGAAGAAGTAACACCGACTTCCTGGATGTGACAGTAATGTTGTGTATGGAGGAAGAAGTAACACCGACTTCCTGGATGTGACAGTAATGTTGTGTATGGAGGAAGAAGTAATACCTACTTCCTGGATGTGACAGTAATGTTGTGTATGGAGGAAGAAGTAACACCTACTTCCTGGATGTGACAGTAATGTTGTGTATGGAGGAAGAAGTAATACCGACTTCCTGGATGTGACAGTAATGTTGTGTATGGAGGAAGAAGTAATACCTACTTCCTGGATGTGACAGTAATGTTGTGTATGGAGGAAGAAGTAACACCTACTTCCTGGATGTGACAGTAATGTTGTGTACGGAGGAAGAAGTAACACCGACTTCCTGGATATGACAGTAATGTTGTGTACGGAGGAAGAAGTAACACCTACTTCCTGGATGTGACAGTAATGTTGTGTACGGAGGAAGAAGTAACACCGACTTCCTGGATATGACAGTAATGTTGTGTGCGGAGGAAGAAGTAACACCTACTTCCTGGTTATGACTAACGGAGCGTAAAAGATGAGGAAGTACCAACCTCCTGGAACCTGCTCCATGAAGATCTTGAAGAAGCCATCTTCACTGACTGAACCCAGATACTTGACAATGTTCTTGTGAGCCAGTCGGCTGTGCAGTCGTATCTCTTCATGGAGAGGCTGCACTTCTCTGTTAAGTCGTAGCATATACATGTAATTTGGACTTTCTTAAACACAAAAATGGATTTCTTGCCTTTAAAATGTTAATTAGATTTTAGATATATACAGAATACTTGCTCTTGGTGTTGACTGATAAGTTCTGTGTTACACAGAAGAAATAACATTCTACTGAAACACTTTGTTGTGGACATTACATGGACGTCGCAGAGGTACATCCAAAATAACCTGAGTCTTTAAAGCAACTTGTGCTGCTGTGACAAGTTGTGAATTAAACAAAGCTCTGCGGCCAATCTTAAGGAATGTGCAGTGTGATGATTTTTATATCTGCAGATTGTTGTGAGGATCACACAATCAGTGATGGCATCAGGTGCTCATGAAAAGGGCAAGCAGGTCCTGAACTACCTACCTAATGGCACGTCAAGTTCATAGTTACTCAGGCAAACTATGTCATGTGGATATAAGTTAGCTTATGACTCTTCCATAAGTGGCAGTAGAACTTCAGTACTCACTGTTTGTATTTCTCAGGTACTTCCTTTACAGCTATTTTGATCTGCGTCTTCTTGTCACGGGCGGCATACACAGATCCATATGTCCCACGACCAAGCATTACACGGTTACTCTTCTCATCCTTGTCGTACTCATACTGGAGAAAATCAACAAAATGTTACCCATCTAATCCCTGTCAAACACACGAGGTCACAGTTACCCTTCCCACCCTTGTCACACTGGAGAAACAAGACACACAGGGTCTCACAGCTACCCTTCCTACCCTTGTCACACTGGAGAAACAAGACACACAGGGTCACACAGCTACCCTTCCCACCCTTGTCAAACTGGAGAAACAAGACACACAGGGTCACACAGCTACCCTTCCCACCCTTGTCACACTGGAGAAACAAGACACACAGGGTCACACAGCTACCCTTCCCACCCTTGTCAAACTGGAGAAACAAGACACACAGGGTCTCACAGCTACCCTTCCCACCCTTGTCACACTGGAGAAACAAGACACACAGGGTCTCACAGCTACCCTTCCCACCCTTGTCACACTGGAGAAACAAGACACACAGGGTCACACAGCTACCCTTCCCACCCTTGTCACACTGGAGAAACAAGACACACAGGGTCTCACAGCTACCCTTCCCACCCTTGTCACACTGGAGAAACAAGACACACAGGGTCTCACAGCTACCCTTCCTACCCTTGTCACACTGGAGAAACAAGACACACAGGGGTCAAACAGCTACAAGACCCTTCCTTCCCACCCTTGTCACACTGGAGAAACAAACAAGACACAGGGTCTCACAGCTACCCTTCCCACCCTTGTCACACTGGAGAAACAAGACACACAGGGTCTCACAGCTACCCTTCCCACCCTTGTCACACTGGAGAACAAAACAAGGGACACACAGGGTCACACACAGCTACCCTTCCTACCCTTGTCACACTGGAGAAACAAGACACACAGGGTCTCACAGCTACCCTTCCCACCCTTGTCACACTGGAGAAACAAGACACACAGGGTCTCACAGCTACCCTTCCCACCCTTGTCACACTGGAGAAACAAGACACACAGGGTCTCACAGCTACCCTTCCCACCCTTGTCACACTGGAGAAACAAGACACACAGGGTCTCACAGCTACCCAGCTTCCCACCCTTGTCACACTGGAGAAACAAGACACACAGGGTCTCACAGCTACCTTGTATGACTGACTAAATAAACTTACATCAACAACCTCCTCAAACTCATCTGCATCTCTTGTGCAACATTCCGGGTTGACTGCCAAGTTACACATCACATCATAGAACCTGAAGCCAAATCATACATTCTCTGACAATGCTATATTTATTTTTTGCATATGTCTCCACCTCACATGTTTAAAACATTTAAAAATAATAACATGTACTTCCCATATCTCCACACTTTACCTCCTTGTCCAAACAATGCCACATTTCATGTTTTGATTAAAATATACATGATCAAATTAACTACAATTACCTATAACATGTTACATATCTCAAATATTTTGTTAACTATTATGCTGTAAAATTAATATTGAAAATATTGAGGACTGACAGAGGCCACTCACTGTTATTTAGTGTATTTATTAATCATTCTACAGGCATTTAAATACCTTCCACAGATCGGTCAATCAGAATATATCAAAGAAAATGCCAACATGTTACTGTCTAATGCACAATTAAACTTTGTACTTTCTTCACGCTGTCTTACCAGGTATATGTTAGTTTAAACAGCTGGGTGAACAGAGATCCCTCCTAGCATCCATAGCAATGTTACATGACAGTTTTATTCCTCAGCATTGATCCATTTTTTTAACATTAGTAGATGGCATAACATACATATATAATCACATAATCAATCTTCATATCTATTTCATAACCACATCGGCACAAAACTCACATTTGTTTTTACCGCATATCAGCAGCCATTATGACCCGGATGTTGAATATGTTACAGTTTCCATACAACTAATTCCATACCAACATGTGGATGTCTAGTGAACAATTAGGTATTTATCATAACATTTATAATTTATAACTTGAAAAAGTCTTTGATGGTCATTAACATCAAACATGTCTAAGTGGTGTGTCAGAAATGTTTGCAAGGTGTTCAACGATGTTTTGGCCTCAGATATCTTGAAGCATTGGAATCAGTCGTGTAGAGACGCTCAACCACTAAGCAGACTGCTTCAGGATGTAAGATATGGTTGATCATCCAATTTTCACATCAAACTTCTGCTCAGCAAAAGTGATGACTTGTTGTTGTGTTGTCTGGGGTTTGTCTTTCTTCAAAAGGAGATTTCTTTCTTGATCAATGGCGTAACTTCTGCTCGGGCTCGCTTAGCAGGTGGTGTACTCGTGACAGACATCTTGTGATGAAAACTAATCTCGGTTGTAAACATTTTATACAGTTCGCGGCCAGCTCACTCTACTGTTATTTCTTGATTAAATCGTCTCAATTAATTATCCTGTGTTCTTAATTAACAAGTGTGATGATCACCGACGTCGGTGTCAAGCAGCCAGTAAGGCACACACTAATTACCACTCACGTGTGATTGTTTGTATACGGTCGGATTATCCGACCGGCTGTGTTGATTGTCGGATTAACGAATGTTTTTAAAATGTATTTACAATAATCAGTTGCTAGATTGCTGTATCAGAGTCGGAATGCGAGAATGTCGAATTAACGAGAGAAATTATCACTGTTTTAAATGGTTCCATAATTTTTTGTCGGATTAACGTGATTGTCGGATTAATGAGTGTCGGATTAACGAGAGCTGACTGTATGTTTAACTTTCAGATATTTAAAAGCCTTTAATTAACCCTATTAATTTTTAAGGCTCCATAGATATTTGGCACAGTAAACAATATGCCAAGCTATCTCAACTTCCTGAACCCACTTGTGGTTTCTCTCCATACACATTTGTCAGCTGACACCATCCGCCTCTACCGCTGTCACAGCTTCAGAAACTTGGGTTTGCTTACAATTGTGAAAGGAATACTGGTCTACACTATCTTTCGCTCTCAAAATAGGTCCATATGTCTTAAGCACACAAGTAATCATTTTACCAAACACAAGGCATCTTAAAGCAAGGTAAAATTTTCAATTCCAGGCCACATGAAAAGCTACCCGGATATTTTACTGAGACAACTGACCTGGTTTTCTGTGCTTCGGATGAGAAATAGATGTGAAAGTCATCATCAGCATTTTCTTGCACATAGAGAAACAAAGCCCGACTGTCTCGCTTGTACAGGCTGAAACACAGGTCTCTCATTGAAACATTGTAACAAAACAAAACTCTCATTTCACTGAATATGTAATTGTCACAGCAATTTCTTTTTAATAACAGATTCAAATAATACATACAGTAAACTACCTGCAATTCCCAGCTTCCACTAATATGAACCTGAATTTAAGCCGCCCACAACCTTCATAAACAAAACCTAAACTCATAAAGATAGGCATGTCTGAAACATGGCTCACACATCAGCAACACTACAACAAAACCAACCAAGACAAGCAGGTACACAAACATAGCCTACCTTACTCTCTTGATGGTCTCCAGAGGGAAAGACCACTCACTGAGGCGGTGGTCATGCTTATTGGGGGTCACAAACCACAACAAAACACGCTGAAAATAGAGCTGTACGTTAGAAAGGAACTTTATGAAGAATCCAAACTGATCAGCAATGATGGTTTAGTGAAAGTTTGTTGTTTGGAAACAAACAGGAAAATATTGCTTCTTAGACAACAATTCTTGTAATAAAACAAGATGCAGTAACCTGATCAAGATTCAAACATCATTACCTTGTCGTCAGTCTCCGAGTCTACCTGAATGTAGCTTGGGATGAGCTCCTTGTTGGGCTCAAGGATGAGAACCTGCAACACAGGCATACACTGCACGAATACCATGTTACGTTTGTAGGAGGCCAATAGTCCAACAATATTGACTGATTTGCCAGTTCTGATTCACATAGCTAGTGCAAACAAATGGTGTACAAAGTAACAAACACTAAAATACCTACTTGATAATGATAAACTTGATAATGATAAATATTTAGATGTGCATGTGTTATGTATCATAACCATATTAATGAAGTCAGGTATTATCAGCCTAAGGTCCTCCACTGAGTATATTTGTCTGTAGGTCTGTCTGTCCTCAGTTACACCCTAATGACAACCAACAACACAGGTACACTGTACACGTGCCCTCACCCTCAGTTACACCCCAATGACAACCAACAACACAGGTATACTGTACATGTGCCCTCACCCCCAGTTATACTCTAATGACAACCGACAACACAGGTATACTGTACACGTGCCCTCACCCTCAGTTACACTCTAATGATAACCAACAACACAGGTATACTGTACACGTGCCCTCACCCTCAGTTACACTCTAATGATAACCAACAACACAGGTATACTGTACACGCGTCACCCCCCTCACCCTCAGTTACACCCTAATGATAACCAACAACACAGGTATACTGTACATGTGCCCTCACCCCCAGTTATACTCTAATGACAACCCAACACAGGTAACACAGCCCTCATAGTTATGTACCAACAACACAGGTGCCCTCACCCCCAGTTATACCCTAATGACAACCAACAACACAGGTACACTGGCCTGTCTCACCCAGTTCACCCTAATGACAACCAACAACACAGGTATACTGTACACGTGCCCTCACCCTCAGTTACACCTCTAATGACAACCAACAACACAGGTATACTGTACGCGTTGCCCTCACCCCAGTTACACTCTAATGACAACCAACAACACAGGTATACTGTACACCCGCGTGCCCTCACCCTCAGTTCACCCTAATGACAACCAACAACACAGGTATACTGTACACATGCCCTCACAGTTACACCCTAATGACAACCAACAACACAGGTATATTGTACACATGCCCTCACCCTCAGTTACACCCTAATGACAACCAACAACACAGGTATACTGCCCTCACCCTCAGCCCCTCACAACCCTCAGTTACACGTTGCCCTCACCCTAATGACAACCAACAACACAGGTATACTGTACACGCCCCTCACCCCCTACCCTCAGTTGCCCTAATGATGACAACCAACAACACAGGTATACTGTTACACCCTCAGTTACACCCTAATGACAACCAACAACACAGGTATACTGTACCTAATGCCTCACCCAGGTATATTCATGCCTTCACCCTCAGTTACACCCTAACAACCAACAACACAGGTATACTGTACACGTGCCCTCACCCTCAGTTACACCCTAATGACAACCAACAACACAGGTATACTGTACACATGCCTTCACCCTCAGTTACACCCTAATGACAACCAACAACACAGGTATACTGTACACGTGCCCTCACCCTCAGTTACACTCTAATGATAACCAACAACACAGGTATACTGTACACATGCCCTCACCCTCAGTTACACCCTAATGACAACCGACAACACAGGTATACTGTACACGTGCCTTCACCCTCAGTTATACCCTAATGACAACCAACAACACAGGTACACTGTACACATGCCTTCACCCCCAGTTACACCCTAATGACAACCAACAACACAGGTATACTGTACACGTGCCCTCACCCTCAGTTATACCCTAATGACAACCAACAACACAGGTATACTGTACACGTGCCCTCACCCTCAGTTACACCCTAATGACAACCAATAACACAGGTACACTGTACACATGCCCTCACCCCCAGTTATACCCTAATGACAACCAACAACACAGGTATATTGTACACGTGCCCTCACCCCCAGTTATACCCTAATGACAACCAACAACACAGGTATATTGTACGCATGCCCTCACCCTCAGTTATACTCTAATGACAACCAATAACACAGGTATATTGTACACGTGCCCTCACCCCCAGTTATACTCTAATGACAACCAACAACACAGGTATACTGTACACGTGCCCTCCCCTCAGTTACACCCTAATGACAACCAACAACACAGGTATATTGTACACGTGCCCTCACCCTCAGTTATACTCTTAAGAATCCAGCAGTATATTTATTGCAAGATCAACTTACAGGATATCTGGAGCCAGTCAGATTTTCTTTTGTTGTAGTTGCCTCCACGAAAAAATCCATCCAGAAAATAAATTTCTGTAACAGATTATACTGCATAATATACATTTAGTATAGGTGAATATTTATGTAGGAAGTAGTGTGCTTGCATCTGTATACAGGTGATATTAGGGGAAGTTATATCTAGGAGGTAGTGTATGCGCACTTGTATATAGGTAGAATTGGGGGGGGGGGGGAGAGAGAGAGAGAGTTTTATTTAGGAGGTAGTGTACCTGCTTCTCCTCCTCGCTGCCACCCTGTTTCTCTGTCCTTCTGAATCGATTGATCAATGAGATATTCCCAACTGTTGACTTTAGATACCTGGCAAGATAGACATACTATAAGTTGTAGCAGTACAACAAGGGGTATACTATAAGTTGTAGCAGTACAACAAGGGGTATACTATAAGTTGTAGCAGTACAACAAGGGGTATACTATAAGTTGTAGCAGTACAACAAGGGGTATACTATAAGTTATAGCAGTACCAACAAGGGGTATACTATAAGTTGTAGCAGTACCGGGTATACACATCGGGGTATACTATATAATCGTAGCAGTACCACACGGGGTATACTATACATCGTAGCAGTACCACCACGGGGTATACTATACATCGTGAGCAGTACCACACGGGGTATAGTACATCGAAAGCAGTACCACACGGGGTATACTATACATCGTAGCAGTACCACACGGGGTATACTATACAACATCGTAGCAGTACCACACGGGGTATACTATACACATCGTAGCAGTACCACACGGGGTATACTATACATCGTAGCAGCACACGGGGTATACTATACATCAGCCACGGGGTATACTATACATCGTACGGGGCAGTACCACACGGGGTATACTATACATCGTAGCAGTACCACACGGGGGTATACTATACATCGTAGCAGTACCACACGGGGGTATACTATACATCGTAGCAGTACTACACGGGGGTATACTATACATCGTAGCAGTACCACACGGGGTATACTATACATCGTAGCAGTACCACATGGGGTATACTATACATCGTAGCAGTACCATCGTATACTATACAAGCAGTACCACATCGGGGTATACTATACATCGTAGCAGTACAGTACCACATGGGGTATACTATACATAGCAGTACCACATGGGGTATACTATACATCGTGAGCAGTACCACATGGGGTATACTATACATCATAGCAGTACCACACGGGGTACCACATGGGGTATACTATACATCGTAGCGTACCACGGGGTATACTATACATCGTAGCAGTACCACATGGGGTATACTATACATCGTGAAAGCAGTACCACATGGGGGTATACTATACATCGTTAAAGCAGCATGGGGTATACACATACATCGAAAGCAGTACCACATGGGGTATACTATACATCGTGAAAGCAGTACCACATGGGGTATACTATACATCGTAGCAGTACCACATGGGGTATACTATACATCGTAGCAGTACCACATGGGGTATACTATACATACCACATGGGGGTATACTATACATCGTAGCAGTACCACATGGGGTATACTATACATCGTAGCAGTACCACATGGGGTATACTATACATCGTAGCAGTACCACATGGGGGTATACTATACATCGTAGCAGTACCACATGGGGGTATACTATACATCGTAGCAGTACCACATGGGGGTATACTATACATCGTAGCAGTACCACATGGGGTGGGGTATACTATACATACTATACATCGTAGCAGTACCAGCAGTACCACATGGGGGGTATACTATACTATACATCAGCAGTATACTATACATGGTAGCAGTACTATATCGTAGCAGTACCACATGGGGTATACTATACATCGTGAAAGCAGTACCACATGGGGTATACTATACATCGTGTAGCAGTACCACATGGGGTATACTATACAGCAGTACCACATGGGGTATACTATACATCGTAGCAGTACCACACGGGGGTATACTATACATCGTAGCAGTACCACACGGGGGTATACTATACATCGTAGCAGTACCACACGGGGGTATACTATACATCGTAGCAGTACCACATGGGGTATACTATACATCGTAGCAGTACCACATGGGGTATACTATACATCATGGGGTATACTATACATCAGTACCACATGGTATACTATACATCGGGGTATACTATACATCGTAGCAGTACCACACATGGGGTATACTATACATCGTAGCAGTATACATCGAAAGGGGGTATACTATACATCGTGAGCAGTACCACATGGGGTATACTATACATCGTAGCAGTACCACATGGGGTATACTATACATCGTAGCAGTACCACACGGGGGTATACTATACATCGTAGCAGTACCACACGGGGGTATACTATACATCGTAGCAGTACCACCACAGGGGTATACTATACATCGTGGGGTACCACATCGTAGGTACCACATGGGGTATACTATACATCGTAGCAGTACCACACGGGGGTATACTATACATCGTAGCAGTACCACACGGGGGTATACTATACATCGTAGCAGTACCACACGGGGGTATACTATACATCGTAGCAGTACTACTGGCGAAAAAAACGTTCAGACATGTAGTTTCTTAAAGTCGAGCAAATTCACAACCAAAGGTTTGAAGAACAAACAATCAAAACTGACATTTAAACATTTAGATACAGTACGTTTCAAAAGAAATGCAAGAAAGCATGAAAGAGTGTGGTTAAAGTTTAAAAGTGATGTTATTATATCTAATAAACCATCCAACCAAGTCAACACTAAATATTTGCCAAGTTTCAGCATGTTTAGTAGTGCTGGTTGTGATAAGATGACGACAATGAACAGACAAAAATACACCAGCATAAAGTCACATGGGTTAAAACATGGGCCTATTCCACAAAGCAAGCACAGTGCTAAGATGATCTTAACTTCGTTGTACAAATGGTTGTATTAATGGGCAATACTATGCCACAGAACTCTATCTGATGAAGAAGCTATCAAGGACAAACATTGAGGAAAGCTCAGGAGTGCTTCAAGACAATAGTATCCAAGTTTATCACAAGTGGAAGAAGCTGCAGGCTGTGGCTTGAATTATTTATTTATATATTTATTTATTTATTTATGAGTTTTATCTTTCCTCAACTGAAATGACACCTGCAGGAATGTATGTAGTACATGTAACTCTAGTCCTACCAGTCAGGGGGTTCCAGACGGAACATACACTCCGCAGCCTGCACTGCCTTCCCATAATCCTCAGCTAATACGCTGATTTCAAAGAAGGTTGCCACGTCCCAGTAGTCTGTGAGGGACTGCAGGCTCCCCTTCTTGCCAATCAGGTTGTTTAGAATAATACCTGCCAACATAAACGAGCATTTCTGTCAGGTGAGGTAAAGTAAACACTTATGGCACTTAAAGATGAGATTTCTGATTTATCAACCTAAAATGTTTATCACATACACTGATCATAGTCTGGGGAGGAACAGACAGACCAATATATGAGAGCTATCAGAGTTCCAGTCTTAGGTGCCAATGGTTAGTTGTCTTACTATCAACTTCATAACCTTTGAACACTTACATAGACGTTAACATCGAACAATGTAAACTTTGCAACTGAGATCAATTTCAAAACAATTTTCTAATGTTGTGTAGAAACTTCCTGTAAGCAACCCATAATTTTGTGCAGAACATGTCTATTTGAAGACGAAAGTTAATACAGTATTTAAAACTTTAAATCAGGACATTTTAAGAGATTACTACCTCTGTCACAGGTGAGGTGCAAACCCCACTTTCCATGGAAGCATCAAAACTATCTCTCACCAATTCTCTGCAATTCCTGACAGGAAGTGAAGTCCTTGCCTGAGATGACAAGCAGAGTGGCAAGGTTGATGCCAGCATACTCATTAGGTTGCACCTCGAAGCCCTTGCGATACCTGTACAAAACAGCTCTAAATATTGTCATCTAAATAGGTAGTACAGATGTCTATGTTCGCTTGATGTTATGTATTGGAGTTTACCATATACTACCATAGATAAGCTGAATTTTGAGGACCATTAAATAGCAGTCTGTAGAAGGGGGTCGGCTTATCTATGGGTTACAGTTTCGTCAATCATCTTTTCTGGGGGTAAGAAAATGACATCGTATTGCTTTGCGTAAACAAACAGAATAGAGAAGATGACTTTGTCAGTAAAGATGTCAAATTTGCAACTAAATATCACTAGACATGATTATTTACCTATTCAGTTCTAATATGTTTTTGCTAGCCATTATCTTATATGCAGGGATTAAGATTACCTTGTGTAATTGTCTCGTAAACAGCACTGGAAATAGCAATCAGCTGTGCAGTGCACACGCTCCCCTACTGGTGATTTTGTTAAAACGTATCCGTTAATATAACGAGATGAATTCTGATGCAGTGACCTTAAAAATATAGTATCTGAAACTCTTATTTCATAATGAGAAATATATTCTAGTATTGTGTCATATTAATTGCAGGTTGTGCTCTATAAATGTAAAATATTTATAATCATAACTAAGGTTATGCGACAGCTTTTGGTGTATTGCGGATAGTTTTTATGCATAGAACAATTTGATTTGTTGAGGTTGAGGCAATCTCACTATTTCCACTGCAAAAGCAGTCTTGTTGACATGTGATCATCCAGCTACACTAAATATGACTTTTGGCGAAACAAAATATGTATCTATCTTCTGTCAACTACACTTCATTTCAAGACGTGAGTAGACGCAATATGTTAGTGATTGCTGTGAATAATGCGGGTCAAATAATAAATATCGGAGGGACACATGATTTCACTGCAGTTAATATCAACATCTTTTTAACATTATGTGTAAAATTACCGTCTCGTTGTTGATACCAACAGTGACTGTTATGATATTAAAAATATAACAAACGCAAGTTCCCACATTATGGGTCAGTAAAATCTTTATTAAAGTACTATCCGAAATAGAAAAAAACTGTTTTTAGGCTGTTACTCTGTATCACTAAAATTTACACAATTGCAAATAGCATATGTCGAAATAACCCACATCGGCCTATCATCGACGTTCAGGGGGATGCGTAATAGGATATCCAGAAAAGCATGTTTACTCGTAAAATCGGCAAAACTTAGAAAAAATATGAATAGCTGCTGAAAACAATAGATCAGACTATAGATGGCAATTAGGTCGCTCAGCCATGTATGACAACGGACCGTCGACTCACATGGCATGAAATGCACATGCTGCCCACAGGCACAAGGGGTCATCTCAAAGATATTTTATGTTTTTTCATGTGTATTGAATATGTCTCTATTGATTATCTTATCTTGGCTAATATCTCAGTTCCCCAGCCCAACCCCAACCACCGTCTGTGACACCCGTCCTGGTTTTGCTTTTGAGACGACCCCTCCTACCTGTTTCTTTTTATAGTAATAGTAAGACAGTAGTATACACTATGGGGCTACGGGACCAGGTCCCTCCCCAAAATTGAGCCCTTGGGAAGTCCCTAATCCCATAGCCCCATAGTGTATACTACTATTGAGGTGCATGCAAAATTTGATGAAAATCAGTCAAATAGTTTCTGAAATATTACTTTTAAGTGAGCATGGGGTCAATTGGGAAAAAGGCTTGGGCCGCCTCGGGGGTGGTTGCTCCTCCGAGCACTGTGGGTGGATGAGTCACAGTGCGTGTGCGTGTGTCTCTCTCGGCTTGGTGTACGGGTGGCTGGTTGGCTACATTAAGCAGAAAAATATGCATGCAAGACCGATAAAAAATCATGACGAGAAACTATCATCACACGATTGGTGATGTGTAAGGGACTGTGTCGTGAGGTACGATCATCAACTCCTCTCGGACAAATGCTCTCGGCGGCTCGTCTTTCAAGTAGTACAAGTTCGGTTCGCCATCTTTGCTGTCGACCAGGTCGATGTTGTACGTTTTCATGGACCATATCGGATCGGTGGCGCGTTTTCTGCTGTCTCCCTCGTATTCGCCCGGCTGGTATAAGTACCTAACGCTGACACGGTTCGGTAATGTTTTCTCTGTTTTATCGCGACGTGCCGCCGCTGGTGACGAATCAACTGATTTCATTTTGATGGCTTCGACGGGTCTTTTGCCTAAGAGTCTGGTGATGTCGTTGTTGATGACATCCACCACTCTTGGCATTGACAACCCATTCCGTGTTTCTGTTTCCGGGATGGATTAAATCCTGCAGGTATTGGTGCGAGAACAGGCGTTCGGCTTGGCTTGGCTACGGTGAGCTCCCGCTATACCTCGTCTCTCTTGGACTTTGTGCTTGGCCTGCAGCTTTGACACGGCTCCCATGAACTCGCATCCGGGATCGATTTGCAATACAGTAGGCCATGTCAAGCGACTGGGTTTGTATATGTGTTCAAAGGCTTTGGCTATTTCGTTCGAAACTTTCGTTGTCAACGGTTCGGCTTCCTTGTAGCGACTGGCGACGTCGACGACGGTCAGGGAGTACTTGTAGGTTTTGCGTCATGAGGCAGAAACAGGAGGTCGGCTTGGTGAACGCGATTCGGCGTTGAAATGTCGAATTTTCTTCTCGGGATGTACTGAGGCTCCGGCAGGTAGACTTGCCAGATGGCTTGTTTTTTTAGCCAGGCTTTGGTTTTCTCTTCCGAGACTCGAACGGCTTTGGCGAGTTTCGGGATGGCGTCCCCGCCTTTCCAGTACCCTCGCGGGCTGTACGCATGTGTGCGTAAGCGTTCAATTCTTCGATACGTGCATGTGTGTGTGTGTGTGTGTCCGTACGCAGTGACTCCGTTGATGGAGATCCATTGTTTCGTGTCCATGGGAGACAGCGAGGTCTTGTTGATTCTCAGTCCGTATATCCTGTGTCAGTCGCTTCTCAGCATGTTCATTTGGTATTTGAACATTTATTCTTGAACAGGGCTTCCTTGAATTTGGTGTGCTTGATGTGTTTTTTTACCACGTGCTTTTTCACGCCTTTCACCTTTCGGATTTCTTGATGGAATACATCTTGGGTCTCAAGCCGACGTACTTGGCGACAGTTTGGAACCGCGCCCGAGAAAAACCAAGTCCTGGGTGGGTACCAGGTCGGATTTCTTGAGGTTTATGATCCACCCCAGTCTAAATAGAATGTCTATCACCATGTGGGTAGAATCTAGGCTCGCTGGCTGAGTTAGAGCGCTGAGCAACCAGTCGTCGAGGTAAGGGTAACAATGCTTTCCTTGCGACCTTGCGAGGGTAGCTGGCACTAACATGAGCTTGGTGAACAACCGGGGGGCAGTGGAGCACTGTGAATTGGTAACCCATCCCGTCGTTAGAGAACTGGAGGTACTGCTTGAACGATGGATGAATTGGCACATGTAGATACGCATCCTTTAGATCGATCGACGTAAGCCAATCGCCGGGCTGAACAGAGGAGATCATCCATTGAAGTGTCTCCATCTTGTAGGATGGAACCTCTACCATGCGATTCAACCCCTTGAGGTTGAGAATGGGACAGAACCCGCCATCCTTCTTCGGAACGAGGAAGTACGTGGAATAAAATCCCACCTGATCCTAGCCCGGTGGTATGCGCTCTATAGCGGACTTGTCCAGCAAAGCAGTATACCCGCCCTGACCGGACATGACGGCACCGGAGTGCGACATATGCCGGTGAATTCTGGCGAGCCTCGCTTCCACAGTGGTAGATGGCCGACACTGACGGTGGAAAGCACCCAAGTGTTGCTGGTAGCCTTTTCTCCCGCTCCGGCAGGAATAGAGAGAGGCAGTGAGGGCGTGAGTGGTCCCTTACAGACCAACTGACTGGGACGGACCCACGGCGACGCACAAGGAACAGCGAATCATCCCCAAGCTGGTACCTGGAGTTCAGGCAAATCGAATCGGAGGCGTGTCCCAGGAGGAGATCCATCACGTCCTGTACCAGGGAAGGCAAGATACGGAGCAGTGTCTGCGAGGGTTGCCTAGGGGCAAACGCCTTGGGCAGGCGGAACTCAGATGAGTCCGAGTGACAGGTGGGTACCGCGGCTTGGGGAATATACTCGGCAATACGCTGCCGCACCTCCCACAGAGCCGACGAGAAGCGGAAAGTGCCCTTCGGCTCCTCGACCTCCCCAACGTCCATAGACTCGGCACCCAGAGCCGAGTCAGAATCTGGGTCTCCTCGTGAAGAGGATCCGAATCCCCGACCCGGTGGGAGGCCGAGCCCCAGACACCGAGGGAAGGGAAGAGCCGAAGGAACTCCCCGCTCCTGCAACTGACACACCACAAGGGACTTCACAGAGTCCATATGCTGCTGGAATAATTGGGTTATTAGTGACATATCAAAACCACCGTGGGATGACTGGGGAGGCGACTTATGCGACTTATGCGACTTAGGTTTTTTAGTCGGTTTGGACTTTTTGGCTTTAGACGGGGGGGACCTCCTGGGTAAGTTCCCCTCCCGCCTCTCGCAATTCCTTGTAGAACAGGAAATCCGCTGCCTTCGTTTCTGGGCCTGGGGAGAAAAGGCCATACAAAGCTCACAAACATCGGGGTTGTGTCCCATCTTTTCAAGGCAGCACAAGCACTTATCACGTGAGTCGTTTGCCGGTGAGCAGGTTGTATTCTTGCATGGCGTCATCAACGTTCTTGAACGTTTGAACGGAGTGGTTTTCGCGCGAGAGTTGGTCGTTGATGAACTGTATTCTCTGCATGCGTTTTTGGGCGTACTCGGCTTGCAGTTTCTCCAAGGCCAAATCGTGACGTTTACTTTCCGCTTCCACTTCAGCTGCTTTCGACGTTCGTAATTTGGAGAAGAGATAATTGCTGCCGGAAAATGCGAGGGCGTTGACTAATGCACCACCGACCATCATGGCGATCGTAGCCATTCTTTTTTATATTATGTGTTTTTAATATTACTTCAAAATATTTCCCGGTATAAGTCCTTGTTTCACGAGAATGTCC